TAAAAATTTCTTTTAAAACTAAACGCGCTTAAAGTTCAACTAAAAATCAAATTCTGCAAATCTTGCAATTTTTATTTTGTTCTTTAAATATATAGATATATGATATACTTGGAATGCACAAAAATCATTTTGTTGCTCATATATTTGTTGTTGTTTCAGAATAAATTGCATACTATATAGTAATATATATATTTTGTATTTTAAAGCCTTTAGGTTCTTGTGTAGTGAAATCCTATTTGATTTTAAATTGGTTCATTTCGTCTATGAATTAAGTTTTTTCTTTTTTGTTTTTGTTTTTTTTTTTTTGTTTCTTGCTTTAAAAGGTGTATGAAAAAAGTTTTAATTAAAAATATATTTGTTAAATATATATATAGATATATCATATATGCGATTTTTCGATTTGCTTGTAAATATACATTTTTGTTTTGTTTTTCTTTTGCTACTTTTGTTTGTTTTTAATAATAATTGAATTGGACCATTTGTTATATGACGTCGTGGCGTATCGTTTCCTATTATATATTTATAATAATGTTAATAATAATAAACATTTCTTGTTGTTCCGCATATTCCCAGGTAAATGTATCTAAACTAACGCACATCCTCATTTACATGGCTATCGATAAAAGTAAATACTAAATATTTTCATTTGATGCAACAGTTTGTAAATATATATAGATTTATCTTATATATGTGCACATATATATATTCGCATTTTGCTTTACAAATGTGGCTCGCCCAACTTTCGTTGCCCTGTCTAGGCTTTCAATATCTTTATATATGTATTTGTATATGAATGTATATGTATGTATATATGTATATATTGTGTATATGTAGACTATGGTTTAATATGCTAATTTTGCTTTTCACTAATTGAATTCAGTTAACGATATCAACTCTTTTAACTACTCACACTACGCAACTAGTCCATCTATATAGATCCTAATGCAACTACTGGATGCTAAGCAAATTCGTTAGGTTTGTCAAATGTCTGCTATATGTGGTCCATACATATATATATATATTTTTAGTTATATAGCGCTATTGGCCCCCAATTCGTCTGAGTGATATGGTATATGTGAGTGTGTATGTGTGGGTGTGCACTACTGCTTAGGATTCTTATGATATACATATATATAAATTTGTCAACTGCTCTCAGTGAACTGCATCAATGTCTCGTTGCGCTCGTGATATTTTCAGCTTGTCCTTGGGCGTATTATCCTCACCCGATTCCAGTGCAAACATCTTCATTTTCTCCTTGAACGACAGCTTCTCAGGCACCGCATCGCCAGCGCGTTGCTGCTGCTGCTGTTGTTGCTTCTCCGCCAGGCGACGTGTTCGAGGATCTCTGTTAATGTATTCAATACGGWTCGTTAGCTGAAGTACTGTTATATTCGGACAACTGCGACTCACCTGTACACCTCCTGGGCGCCTATGACGCCAGGCGTTGATTGCACTGTGGTATTCCAGAGCGCCGCATCCGGCGTCGCAGGCATCGAGGGCAACATGGAGACATCCACATTGTGCTGCATGTACTGTGATATAAGTATAAGCAAATTATTAATGATTAACGATTGTCCACTACTGT